AGAAAAGTGAGTTTGTGTGGTTCATATTAATTGATAAAATAAGAATAAAGTAAGAATGATTTAGAGCCACACAAACTTTGCCAAATATGGTATGAGACAATTTAAGTGGGACTTCCCGAAAAGGTAAAATGGGACAATATAAATGGGACGGAGGGAGTAATATGTATATAACTAAAATAAAAATTATTTATAAAAATGTAATATTTTAAGTATAGTGACGTGACTATAGAAGACTAGTAACTTTCGTCATAGTCATTTTTTTGAAAGGAAACTGGTTATATTAATTCAAAATATCGTTCTCCCAGTGGAGTACAATGCAATCAGGAGTTGAATCATAACTAAAATAAGAATCCGGTTGTGAAAGAGTAGCCATTGCTAATGAGTGAGCTACCCTGTTCGCGGATCTTTTACAATGTGTGACTTCTAAGCTAGCTTCATCGCGAAGAGTGTGTCTGATGTCTTTCAGGATTGTGTCAAAATACAATTCTCCTTCTCGATCCATAATGCTTTACCCGCTGCCACCGATGCTCTTTAATCCAATCAAAAGGTACATATATAATATTCCACAGAGGAGCAGCACGACTGCTTTGCTCATGTCGAATTTGAGAGCAATTAGGCCTTCCTTCCCATATCGCTTTTGTTTCAAACAGTGTATTGTTTCAAAAGCCACCATCACATTATCAACAATCGAGCGACCCGGTATAAAGGCACTTTGATTAACAGAGACAATGTTATTTAAAATTCCTTTTAATCTGTTAGCCAACACTTTTGTGAAGATCTTAATTAAAACATTGCATAAAGCAATAGGTCTCCAATCCCCTAAAGTTTCAGGCTTTTCTTTTTTGGGGATTAAAACTAGATGGGTACTATTTACCTCTGTCGGTATAGATCCACTAGAAAATAAGTACTGGCAGTACCTGGTAATATCCTCTCCTAAAATATCCCAATAGTGTTGATAGAACCCCAGGTTCAATCCATCCGGCCCTGGCGCTTTGTCGGGATGCATGGCAAAGACCGCTTTCTTCACTTCCAGAGCAGAGATTGAATTGGTTTTATTAATTCTCTGTTTTGTTCCACACTTACCTGAGCCAAAACAGGCAAATCAGTTTCCTCCAGAACTGCCCTACCAGGCGTGAATAAGCTCGAATAATACTCATGGATCATTGTTCCCAGTCTGCTTCTATTCCTTTCCCATATATCGGATGGCAATTGCAAGCCTTTCAATTTGTTTCGCCTTCTTCGTTGTTTCATCGAGTTGTGAAAGAATTTCGTATTTCTGTCTCCATCCCGAAGCCAAAAGGTTTTAGCCCGTTGCTTCCAGAAAGTATTTTGCCTTTGCAGAAGCTCAACTAAAACATTCTTGACTCTGTGAAACTCCCTTGCATTCCATCTTCCACCTTCCCGGCGTAATTCAGCCAATCTTTTCTTGCAGACCTCAATTCTTGCTTGAAAACCCACCCGATGGTGCTTACTCCATAATTCAAGTTCCACACCACAACCAAGCAGTCGTTGCCAGACTACCATGTTGCTGGAATTCGCCCAGGTTCTCTGAAGTACCTCTCGACATGCTTCCTCACACAGACAATGATTTTCGAACTTAAAGGCTCTTTTCCTTTTCCCACTTCCCGTCTTGAGAATCCTGATGTATAGCATTAAGTGATCGCTGGTCGGACCTTCCAACGAGGTCGCTTGGTACTCACCAAACAGATTCATCCATCCTTCGTTTGCCACCAGCATGTCCAGTTTTTTCTCAATCCAGTGCTGAGTTTCGCGGCCCCTTTCCCACGTTAATTGGTAACCTTCGAAAGGGACGTTCAGCAAACCACTGCTATTAAGTGCCTCCTGAAAACCTCGCAACAGCCAAGGGGTTTGTGGCAGTCTGCCCCGACGTTCAGTATCGGACACAATGTCGTTGAAGTCTCCCATAACTAGCCATGGCCTGTCCGAGAGCTGTGAAAGTTGTTTAAGCAGTGCCCATGAAGCTTTTCTCCCGTTCCGTTCTGGGTAGCCGTAATAGCTAGTAAATCGCCATTTCGGGTCATCTTCATCCAATTGGACCATACAATCAATATAGTTGGCAGAATGACCAACAATGTCAACCAAGATATTGTCTCGCCATATTAGGCATAAACCTCCTCCCAGGCCCTGGCTATCAACTGCAAAGCATCTATGGAAACCTAATTGCTCTCGAATTTCATTACAGTGATTCCCGTCTGTCTTCGTTTCCATCAGAAATAGGATGCCTGGCCTCTTGGATTGTATAGTATCAGATAATACCTGGACAGTTGCCAGATTCCCGAGGCCTCGACAGTTCCAAGAGACGATTCCCATGCTTCAGTTCCTTTGCTCGTTTCCTCCGATGGTGATAGGACAAGAAAAACTAGCGCTGCCCCAAACTCGCGTCGCCGCCCAGAGCCTAAACCCTATTCAGGGTGTCGTCCACTTTTTGCCTACCATCGACGTTTAATTAGTTTTTCATCATAGTCATTTATATTCAATATTTCCATTTAAGTAACATTGTTGGGTTAATGATATGGCCCAACACAGGGGTCGGCCCATTATCCCCTTCAAGATGGAGGCCCACCAGACGTTCGTCTAGAGGGTCCAAGTCCACCAGGGGTAGCTACCCTCAAATAGCACAAGACATCACTAAGGAACGACCACATAGGCTAGCCAGTATACAATGGCATCTACAACCAAGCTAAACATTGGCGATGCTCGGCCACCGCCCCTTGACTCCACCACTCTGGGATGGCCCCAGACCAAAGGGACGCTCATCCCCAGAGATTGGCGGGAAACGAAGATTCTGGTGGGAAGCGCATTTAATGATGGAAATTTGGTGATTAGAACCCTAGCCATCCACAGCCCTCCACATCAGGATATCCATCTACCCCTTGGTAGTCTAAATAGTAACATTTATTTCATTGTAAAGGATTGACAACTTACCCGCCTTAGCATTCTAGCATTCTGATAGCTCATAGCAGTAAGCTTAGCTCTTCCTTAGCAAGAGAGACAATCGGCCGTTGGCCAGGTAGCACTTGTGCGTTGTAATAGATCCTTATTATCATCGATAAGATACAGCTCATTGCTACATACATATTAAGCCTACCTTGCTTGCTTGCATTCCATATTCATACACACTTTTCCACGCGAGATCCATAGGTTACGTGTTGGGCCTACGGGTTGAAGGAATAACCATCAACAAACACTATATTCATGATAATTTTTATTATATTTTTCATAAATAAGTTTTATTTCTGTTATATTTTTAAAACCCTATTTAAAAGACTAAGCCTGACCATAAGTGTGGGTTTTATTTTTCAGAAGTGTGGGTTAGACCAAGCCCGACCATATATCATTGACCAATTAAATTTACAATAATGCTAGATGTAAACCCTACTCTACACCTTTATGTACATTCAAAATAAGGGTTCATGTTTTTTACCCTTCCTCCTCTTTGTTATACGAAGTATGAAAATTATAGCTTCCATCTCTTTTTATAGCTCCCTTCTCTTTACTCTTTCTTGTTTCTCTTGATCATCTCCATCTTCATCTTCTTTCCTTCTTTCATCTTTTCTCCACTCCTTAACTTTCTTTTTTCCTTTACTTTATGACACATCTTCACCATCATCTTCAGATAGGTATAGTCAAAATAGAATCAGAGACCCTACTAGGGTTGGTTCTGCAAACTGGTCCACCAAGACTCGACCTACAACAGAAGTGTCTGGTGAACTACAACTGCATAGGATCGGAGGAGGAAGGATGCATTGATGGAACAGAGGGGCTTCATGTGAAAGCCCTGGGGAGCCATGCACTTGGTACAACAGTGGAAGACGACGTTGGAGCAGATGAACTTGTGTGAGGTGGCTACACAAGGGACATGGCCCCAACAAGGTTTTGCGACGGTAGACAAGGGGTGGCGCAGATTGTGCTCTTTAATGAAGAAGGTGCAACCATGAGCGGTGCCAGACTTCACTCTAAGGGTCCCCGAAAGGTAATACAAGTGGAGTATTAAAATGTAAGGGGAAATTTGCAATTTTGGTCCCACAAATTTATCGCGTACTAGTTTTTAGTCCTGACACTTCACTTGCTCACAACTTGGTCATGTAACTTTTTTTTTCAATTTAAGTATTTCCCCACCGGAAAGTTCACGTTCCTACAAATATTTCACCGCAAAATATGCAACTAATGTCATTTTTTGCCCAAATATGTACTTTCAAGTGGAAAATTCCTTTACCTACAAACACCTATTAATTAGAGGACCTAATGTTTACAATTAAAATTATTTGGGCCCCCCAAAAATTTATGAAGTCAATTAGACAAGCCTTAAGTCTCTATATTTTTAAATTTTATATTTGGAAGATTTGCAATTTTAGTCCCGTAATTGTTTTATTTTAAAAAAAGCAATAAAAAAAAAAGTAGGGGGGCATGCATGGCCCCCTTAACTTACTATGTACCTCTGCCCCTGGGTGCGACCAAAGTTGGTTATAGCATATAAGCGACAACGGGGGATTCAACAGACATATGTACTTTAGGGGTATTTTTAAATATATTCATTTAATTTTTTTATGCATTTCCAAACTCAATATATTCATTAATTTTTATATTTTAAAATTAATAATAGTAAACTTGCTTCTGACATAAACTTTAGGGGCACTTTTGTACATTTCAAAATATGAGAGGTATATATGTACCCGTGGGAGCTAAAGATCAAGGATATATTTGTATCTCCCCCCCCCCCCCCCCCCCTTTTATCCCATCCCCGACTTTAATGTTTTATCACCCTTTTATCTTATTATCGTCGACTTACGACTTCATTATTAATCTCCAATTAATTGAAGGTTATAATTAAAATGCCTGCACCATTTTAATGTTCTCTCCATTTAGTTAGCATCCCATTTAATATCATCCCTACAATGGAAAAAACAATTGTCCTTAACCACACGTCCAATGAGATTGTGAACTATAAATATGCATAGCATGCATTCTCGCTTCAAATTGTAACCAATACACGGAGCAATATAATACATTTATTTGTTCCAAATAATTTTCGTCAAGTAAATATCATGGCTAAAGTAAGTGGTATTGTTGTTGTTTGTCTAATTGGACTCATTGCATGTACAAATATGTTTTCCATTGGAGCTGCGAACGAAATAAGCAATGGTGCTATGCGTAAGGATTTGCCCTTTTGTGGACATGGAGATAAAAATTGCAAACCAGTAGAGTCTAACACCCCATATACACGAGGATGCAACGCCGCTGATCGTTGTCGCGGCGGTGATGATAATGGTGGTTCTCCTGGTGCATAAAGAATAACATTTGACATGCATTAAGGATCACAGGGAGGTGCATGTCTTTTCCACGAACGTCTACAAGACATCTCTTAAAAAAATAAGGCTATGCTTTTATTATACAAAGCTTAGAAAAACATTATGATTAATTGTACTGTATATTACTTAAATTAAATAATGTAATGCTATAGAACATTATTTGTAGATAAACACAAGAATTGTATTACATCCTTATGTGAATTTATGAATAAACTTGTTAAGCTAAGAATATTCTTAATTGGATTGAAATTTTAAGGTCTGATCGGTCTGGTCTGTTTAAGTTTGATCTAGTCAAAGAGATGTATGATCTATGTGTATTTTTACAATTGTCCAAGTCTAATTTGGTCTGGTCAACTGATCTGTTTAAGTCAGGTATGATTTGATATGGTCTGAACTTCGATTGAAATAAGTCCCAAGTAACAATATTCTAATGTATACATTTGAATCAACTTAATCAAAACTGTATTAAAGAGTACTTATTAAAAATACATCTTTAATAAGTTCATTTTTTTTATATTAGGGTGACTTATTCATAAATGAGAGGACTCATTGAATTGCCATTTTTCATTTGCCCAAAATAATGCTATTTTTTAATGTTTCTAAATAATTGACTAAACTTCATGAGAAAGTACATACAAATATACACGGAGCAGTAAATAAATAAATTGCTAAACATAGGAGTAAAACTTGGCCAAAGTTTTAAAATAGGATTAAATATGTTTATTTCCCAGTATAAGATTTATTCAGTCCTATTAAAAGAATAAAATGATAAAACATTTGGAATAGGAGTGAATGAGTCCTTTGGATAAGGGCATTTTGGATAGTAAAATGTGTTGGTGTAATATATAGTTTATTAATTAGCTATAAGTATTTGTACAGTGTGGTTTGATTCTTATACACCTCGCTAACTTAATACGGAGTATATGTTTCCCTCTCGCTCTATTCCATTCTGTGCTCGTTAGTAAGCCTTGAGCATGTAAAAAAACAAAAACACAGCCCTCAAGGACCCGCCTTGCTCTGAGACATTTGGGGTGGTTCCAGACCGCTCTGTCTTGCAAATGAAATGGGTCTACCCCTCCCACACAATAATGGGACGGGTCCGGGTATTAGTATTGACCTGTGTCGCCCCATCCCGCTCAATATATAATAAATCATAAATTCTTTGAGCTTGTAATATATTAATATTTATACTTGAATGAGATGAATGACTAGTTGTGAGTATCTTCTTTATGTTTAGCATTTTATATATTAAATTATTAATATAAATAGATTAACTATTCAAGTTTCATCAAGTACTTTTTTCTTAAATTTTGATATTTTAAGCGTATTGTGACTTTGATTTAATATATTAGCTTTTTATACTCACAAAACAAACACGCATTTCCAATCATTGTCCAACTTCTTTTTGTAATATGAACAATGAGTACTTAATAACATATTGTGAGTTTTATGTATATTTTAGTGAGTATGGCATTATAACATCTCAAACAAATTTCAGTTGTAAACAAAATAAATCAAATACCTAAATAATCATATTTTTCTCACTATAGTACAAACTCCCTTCGTTCTATTCGTAATAAGTATTGAAGAACACATTACAAACATTATACACATTAAAATCACCAAGATTGTTTATTGACCAATTCCTATGACCACGAGAGTGGTGGAGGAACCGTTGTGCATGCTCTTTCTTGTAATAAAGTTCTAATACCATATCGCCCGACTTTTGATTACTACATAGTTCCAAACATGCCCCTGATACCCCTTTGCATCTTTGTTTTGTAGTTTAGCTTCTTTTGCATCAATGTTGACCATGTTTGCCTTTTAGTTTCGTTTACTCCTTTTTAGTGATACATTTGCCTATTTAATCGTTGAACTCACTTATATGTCATCCCCGTAGTTCGATAAACCTTCATCTCACTTACCGCGATACATTTTACTTCCCTCACACTCACGTTTACATTTCATTTTATTACCTTTTGAATGATTCAGGATCTGCACGCGACGAACTATATATATCACCTTATAGGCGATCACGGTCACATCAACCTTCATTATCACCGTGAAAAGAATAGTTGGAGTACTACTCCCCACATTCCATAAAACTCGACCAATTAGACTTTTCTTGGTCAATGATAATAAACTTTGGTCAAGGATTTTAGTATTCTATTTGTGTCAAATTTATAACTTTTATAAAAGTATTTATAACAAACATCTACATATAATTTTTTTATTTTAAATAATTTTACATTAAAAAATATCATTGGTCAAACTTGACCATCTTTGATCAAGAAAAGTCAATATGTCCAAATTTTGTGAAATGAAGGGAGTATATTTTTATCTAAATATAGTACGGAGTGATAATTATTATTTTTATCTAACATTCCCGACTTTTTGTGATAAAAAAACATTCCCGGCTTTTTTGCTCCTTACCCTAAATAAGTTGGAGGTTACAATTAATATTTGAAAACCAATTCAATGTTCCCTCCATTTATTTAGTGTTTCATTGAATATTATCCATATAATGGCAAAATTGATCCCTAACCACATACATTATGGGATTGTGAGCTATATATATGCATAAGGATCTCCTTACAAATTATAATCAATACAATAAAATTAGTTTATATTGTTCCTAATAATATCTATCGGCTAAAGACTATGGCTAACATAAAGGGTATTGTTTTTGTTGTTTGTTTAATTGGACTCATTGCATGCACACATTTATTTGTCAGTGAAGCTGCTACAGAAATAAGTAACGGTGTTTTAGATCTTGATAAGCCTTCTTGTGGACATGCAAATAAAAATTGCAGACCAAAAGAGTCTCAAAATCCTTATAGGCGAGGATGCAATGCTGCTGACCGTTGTCGTGAAGGCGATCTTATTATTAATGAAGAGGAGCCACATGCCCACATGTAAGAAGGAAGATAGTGAGGTGTCTATCATTTCCATTAACGTCTACCTTTGATGAGTCATTTCTCCTACAAATAACAATGCTTTGCATGTCTTGTGCAAAGTTCACAAACACATTATGTTTTGCTTGAATGTAATATTTAAATGAAAAATGTAATTCACAAACACTAGAGTGTATTACATGCTCATATTGAATTAACGAATAAACATGCTCTTGATAAACTATAACCATGTGAATGATTGAGCTCAAGAAATCAATCTTGATTGATGATGATGAATGAACAAAAAATTACGGTCTTTACAGAGAGCTTGTGCGGAAGATCGTAATTCTAAGAATGACAACTAATACCTAATTTACATCATGACAGATACATATATACCTAATACAATAGGAATAGAATGAACACAAATAAGACACATTAAAATAATAAAAGGCCCAAAAAAATAAAAGAGGTCCAACGTCCATCCGTTTAATCTTGATACGCCCCCTGAAGAGGAGCATGTATGTCCAACATGTTCATCTTAAGAGGCTTTTTATATTTATGTACAAATTGAAAGCTATTTTTAATGTGAATCAAATTAATAAAACAGAAGCAATTTTTCTTTTATTAAGTGGCAATCTAACTCAATATGTTTAGTCCTTTGGTGTTGAATAGGATTATGAGCAAGGTGATAAGTGGATTTATAATGAATATATATATATATATAACCATATGTAAAGAGAACCGAACATGTAAATCATGAAGAATGTAATAAATATAACCACTAGACATCACAGACTGCATTAACAGTTGCTATGTATTCAGCTTCAATAGAAGATGTACTAACAACCTGCTGTTTTTTTAGATTTCCGGGAAATTAAAGAATTACCATGGTAAAAAGCATACCTAGAAACACCCCTTCTAGTACCAATACAAGCAGCCCAATATGAATCTTTATAACCTTGTATAGAAAAAACAGAAATAGATGGGTAGAAAAACCCTTGTCTGGAGAACTTTTAAGGTATCTTAAAATCCCGTGAGTTGCACTCATATGAACTGGAGAAGCAAGAAACTGACTAAGAACTTGAATACTATAAGCCATATCAGCTCTTGTAACAGTAAGATAAAATAGCTTTATGATTAAGGTTCTATATGTTTTAGGGTTATCTCATACAGTTCCATCATTTTTAGATAGTTTAACTTTGTAATCTATGGGAGTAGTATATGGTTTACAATTTAGATAACCACATTCAATTAAAATATCAAGAGTTTATTTCCTTTGGCCCGAATATATACCTTTATCGCCTTATCGGATCTAGCAATTTCAATTCCTAGGATATATTTTAATTCTCCAATATCCTTAATAGTAAATTTATTATTTAAAATGGTTTTTACTTCAATGATTTCTTTTATGCATACTGTATATATCCATCAAGAGTAATACCCTCTACATATATTAAAACAATTGTGAAAGAAGTTTTAGTAGTTTTAGTGATTAAAGCAAAACCAGCTTGTGATTGTTTGTATCCAAACAGTTTATGTGAATCACAAAGTTTAAAAACCATTGTCTAGATGCTTGTTTAAGACCATATAGACTATTGACAAGCTTGCAAACTCTGCTATCATTAAGAGGCAAATAATTTGGAGGTGAGTGTGAGTGCATGTAAATGTCACTTAAATCACCATGTAAGAAAGCATTATTTACATCAAGTTGATGTAAGAACCAATTTTATCACTAGCAATGGCTAATATCCTATGATGTCAAAATAATCAAAACCTTCTTCTTATGTATATCCTTTAGCAATTAATCTTGCTTTATATATGTTTAAGAAGCCATTGTTTTAAAAACTCATTTACATCCTACAATGTTCTGATTAGAAGGTAGATTACCGAAAATTCAAGTTTTAATTTCCTCGAGATATATTTTCCTAATAATTTTGTTTGCAAAAAGATACTTTGTATGTACAGAGCATTTGTACGTATTCTTCATCGTCGTTGATAATAAAAATAGGCTTGAAAGTATGGAGTGTTGGAGTTGTCAAATGCAAGATATTGCCCATATCTACAATCTTATAATAGCCAATCAAGATTAGGGTAGTTTAGGTAGGAAAAAAATGTTGGTGTAATCATGTTGCTCAATAGGGTTGCACATTTAGATGTAACACTTGTACTCTTTTTTAATAGCCTTATATTTTCGTTTAACTCCGTCTTCTATCATTTCTGTCTGTTTAGGCTAACCGCTTATCTTCCGTTTCCTCCCTTGATACTAAGCTCAGCTCATGCCCTTTCATTTCTTTCGTGATTAATGGTTGCAATTATCGAATGGGATGACAATTGCTACAAAAAATCAGCGACTCTATGAAAAATCAAATCCCTCATAGGGATGAGTTATTGTTACAGAATCGAAGCAATCCGGCCAAATCCGGCGACCATGCCTGCGATGCTAGAAAAATCAACGCCTCTGAAAAGTCAAATACCTGATCGAGATGAGGTCTCGCTGGAGAAATTTTGAACCTTAAAACTTCTAGTGTGAGGCCAGAACAACCTGCAGAACTTTTCTTAAGAGGACATGGCGTCTCTCTTTCAGATGTTAGTCGGCGATACAGGCAGAAGGTAGGCGACAAGCATAAGGATTATAAATTTCGCCGCTACTGCTGTGTTCCAATAGCAACCAGACTCGAATATATACCAGTAAGAAAAGCTTTTGAATTTGATTCCAAGCCTTTTATTCAAATCTCTGAAGTGGAAGTGCAAGTACTCTCAAAGTGGTTCCGATATGGAATTGGAAAATTTTCACATCCTTTGCCAAAAACTGATTCTATTTGTGTTTTTCATAACAATACTAAGACAGTATTTGTGATTTTCGTATTAACCTTCATTTTCATCAAATTACATTAATCAAGTTCTTTTCCAAAACTAAACTATACATCATATGTACTTCTATATAATTTTTTGGATTGTTGATACAAGGGTCACCCCTTCTCAATTTTGTATGTAAGTAATAAGTTGATTCTACTAATTAAGGCTCACTCTAAGCAATGTGTGTTCTGTTAGTCCAGTGATACATAGTACTGAAATACTTTATTTATATGATAAAGAAAACTTAAACCTTGACAAATGAATTGATTTCAGGTTTACAAGCCACCTTATTTTTAAATCGATAGTGTTGTTTAGTTAAAGTTTTATGTTTATGTGAAAAGGTTATGCTTTCATTTCAATCATCTCAAATATTTAGTTTAGGTTACGTTTTTCTCAAACAACCTTAACTTCTAATGTATATGTAACACGTCAGATTTTGGCTCAAAGGAGTTTTTGGTTATATGCAGGGGTGACCATTGATCTGGTAATAAAGAATTCATGGTTAAAATATTACAAAGTAAGAGTTGCTACGGGAACTAATTAACTAGATAGATGCATGGTGTTATTTCATGTTGGCTTGGTGATCACACATTCACACATCCATATTCCTCTGTCAAGACTACTGATCTTGAATTTGAAGTTTAGTGGACAGGTTTAAGAATTTAAATAGCCATCGACTCATCGAGTATTTCTCTTAAATTTTGTATTGAAATATAATGATTTATTTTGCTTGTTATTTCCTTAAATTGAAAATTGACATATATTTTGATATGGATTCATGATTGAATGGGGTTAGTTTGTCCCAACAAGCAGAACATTTTTTATCCCTCCTAATGTTTCGTTGATAACAAGAAATTTCATTTCAATTTTATGAAACTATGTATGCATGCCCATAGCAAATAGATACATACAAATCCAATTGGGCATTTATGTTATCGCACATCGCGCGTGATAGAAACTAGTATCTTTATAATAGGCAATAAGATGTCTTTAGGCAAATTTTGGGATGTGACAACACACGATCCACTATATAGGGAGTAATTTTGATTTGACAATTCCATACTTCCAAACCTAAATAAATGATTCACTTGTAATAAACAATTTTTTTAGCATGAATACTATTCATGATTTTTTTTTTTAATTTGTTACTCCCTCCATCCCACTAACAATGGGACAAGAGGGAGTAACACACAAATCTATAAAGAGTGGTTTATGTGGTTGATATTGAATTGATAAAGTAAGAATAAAGTAAGAATGATTTTGAGCCACACAAACTTTGCCAAATAAGGTATGAGACTATCTTAGTGGGACGAACCGAAATGGTAAAATGGGACAATCTTAGCAGGACGGAAGTAGTATATATTACTACCTTCGTCCCACTATGTTTGGGACAAAGGGATGTGGCACAACTTTTAAGAAAAATGAGAAATGTGTGGTTGATATTGAATTGATAAAGTGCATGTGGATGAAGTAAAAAAGAATTGTAACCACCAAAATATTACCAAATATGGTATGTGATAAATTTAATGGGACAATCGAAAAGAGTAAAACGGGACAAAGTTAGAGGGACGGAGGGAGTAATAGATAGATTCACATGCCTAGCTGTTTTGCGAAGAATCACGCTTCAGCGGTAGAAAAACACTAGCCCCACTTCGCCGGCAAATCGATAAATACCAGTTTACTAACCCTAGCGATATCGATCAGGCGGCTCTTCGAGTTGTTATTTCAACCAGTTCAAACCTGACTATGAACCCGTTTAGTAGCACGAAAATCGGTTGTTTTGGCTGATTCTGCTGAAATTTATGAAGTTCTGGCTGAAATGGCTACATTGGTTGTTTCTGCTGATTTGAGAAAAAAATTATGTTTAAAATATATTTTATTAATAAAATAAAGAAAAATTATATGTAAAAATAGCTAAAATGGTCATCTACAGTAACTTCAGCCAATACAGTCAGAATAGTAACTTCAACCTTACTTTTTCTGCTTATTACACAATTCAACGCGCGAAAGCAAAAGTTACGTGTTTGGTGTAAAAATTGGTTGATAAGCCTGATAAGACGAAAAACATTGTTGCCAAATGGCCTCTATATTTTTAAAAATATTTAAGGTTGTTTCCTCCAAAAAAAAAAAGCCTGTCGAGGATAATTTCTTCACAATATTCCTTATTGTTTCGTTCTATTCTATTTCCGATTGAAGCTGGACCTTCCAAATTAATGTAAATGAAAATTTTATGATAGATCAACCCTAAACAAACTGCGCACAATATAAAGCCGGTTTATTGGTGCCCATGTATTTCAGCTTAGTAGCTAATTTTTTCACCAAACACGTACGCAACTTTTGATTTCGCGCGCTTAATTGTGTAATAATAAGAAAATGTAAGGTTGGAGT